TGAATAATATCAAGAACATGAGAGAGATACTGAGAGCTAAAAGAAGAGAATTTTTGCAAATGTTTTCAAAGCTGCAGGAAAGATTTCATAAATATATTACGTTGAAAAGAGGTTACTGTAACAGTATAATTTTGTGAATATTTAGTTAATAAAGTATTTATAATAAAAATTATTAATGTTAATTAACATTTATTAGAAATACAAAAAATTATAAGAAGTTAAAAATAAATTATCTTGAATAAAAATAGTCTACAATCAAATTGTTTTGTAAACTATAGCTTATTTATGAAATCAAGACATTTCTTTCTTAAGCAAATACATTATAAATAAGAATTACCTCCGTTGCAAATTCTAAATAACAATAACCTTTAGAACGACCTTTGTAATCTCGAACAAGTCTTAAATCAGTAATGTCGCCCATCTATTAATATTAAAGAAATTAAAAATACATTTTAAATAAAAAAAAATGTAACTAAAATATTTATATTTCTGATAATTATTATAATAATTTAAAGAAAAAACATCACCTTACTAAATACTTCTCGAATTTGTTCTTCATCTATATCATAAGATAGATTACTTAAAAATATTGTTCGTTCATCTTTTTTAGGATCATGATGAACTGTTTCTCCATGTAATTTTTGTTCTGTTTCCACTAAAGTATATAAAGAAAATACTATTAATGCAAAATTAATTTATGACAAAAAAAAATAATCTGACATAAGAGCTATAACCAAATTACTTCAATAAAAAAAATGACATAAAACAAATTTTTTTTTATATTACATTTTTGTCTTTTTCTTTCTGGTTCCATTTCAACTTCTTCTTCTTGTTTAATAGGACTTTTATTTTGTGAACCTTTCATTCCAGGCACTGGTGGAATTTTAAAACCTTCAGAATCAACTTTAACTGTACTTTCAGCTGTTTCTTCTAATTCTGAAGTATTTGGTTTCTGAAACTTTAAAATAATTTATAAAAATGCTAAAGTTCTTTAATATTTTATTAAACTTAAAATGTCTT